GGGCGACATAGTGAGACTCTGTCTCAAAAAAAAAAGCCATCCTCTATTACTTGAGTGTCATCTATTGCTTCTTTACCTATTGTCTCTGATTTCTCTCTGAACTCCATTTAAACTTAAGCTTTTCTTTCTCTATTCTGTCTCTTACCTACTATTTTGAATTTTCCATCCTTTTGCCTCTCTGTGCTTTGTTCTGAATTTTTCTGCAGACTTAGTTTCTTGTTTCATTTTCTGTTATCTATTATACGCAATGCACTTACAAAAATCTATTCACTGAGTACTTAATTTTGTTTCATATTACTTGGTTCTTTTAAAAATCTATGTAACTTTCCAAAAGCGGGTCCTTTCTATACTCAAAATTTTAATCGTATTTTTTATTATCTTAGAGATAGTAAGAATTATTATTTTAGTCTGTTTCTGATTATTTTCCTATCCAGAGTTTATGTGGGTCTTTGTTTCTGCTTGTTTTCATTTATTTTGTCCTATCCACCTGTTTATCTTTAGTTGTGTTTTGGATGTTGTCTTAGAAAAATTGTTTACAGAAATAAATTGAGGACTAGACTACGATAATGTTCTCTCCATCCAGAAATGATTTGTGTTTTTATCTGCTGGGGCTTTAGAGCACAAACAGTCTAAGATCACTGTAATCTGATGTCAGGGATTAGGATTTTTGTGGGCCACACAGATGTTTGGAAACTGGGCTGCTGTCTTTGTGAAGGCTGCTTTGTTTCCAATCCACTCTTCTCCTAAGGTCTGGGGTTTCAAGACCCAAGCATTTGGGTTTCAAGCCCAAGTTCTAGGGGGGTAACTGGCTCTTAGAGGGCTTTGAAATCTAGAGAACCGAAGAACTTAGCAAAAGTGATTCTCAATGTCTTGGTGCCTCTTTATTCTATAAATGGCCCTACTGCAACAGTGGACCGGTTGCTGCAGCCTCCTCTGTAAACTTTAGTCTTAATGTTTCTTGGCCTGTGCCTTCTCACTTCTCTGATGCTTCCAAACAGATGTTCTTTTATAGTAGTATGTCCAGCATTTTAAATTGTTCTCAGGAGGAATGTTGGTCCCAATTATCTAGTTAGCCCTATTACCTCCTTACAAAAGCATCTTCTTGAATTTTTAGGATAAAGAAACTATATTGAACCTTGAGAATTCATCTGTTTTAGCCTCATTCATTACTAGTCAATAAAGTACGGGCTTATTGATCATCTACTGTGTACCCAGCATTGTGCTCTACCTTACGGAACTCCTGAGGCAATGCAAGATGAAGTTAAGGATTTTAGCTGGGGAAACAAGCATGAACACAGATAATTAAATAAAATGTTGGAAGAGGTGCTCAAAGCTATACACAATGAATGGTGTCAAAAGACAAAATACAGGCTCGGCGCC